TAGTTGTGGTGAGCGGGGGCTACTCTGTTGCGGTGCACCGGCTTCTCATTGCGGTGGCTTCTCTTGTTGCAGAGCACGGCTTCAGTAGTTGTGTCTCACGGGCTGTAGAGCGCAGGCTCAGCAGTTGTGGTGCACGGGCTTAGTTGCTCCGCAGCATGTGGGATCTTCCCGGACCAGGGATCAAACCCGTGTTGCCTGTAGTGGCAGGCGGATACTTAACCACTGCGCAACCAGGGAAGTCCAGTAATGGGTATAATTTTTTTTAATTACAGATTCAATTCACTTAATGGTTATACGTAAATATATAGATAGACCTTTGTTTTTCAAGTCAGTTTTAGTGATTTATTTATTTCTAGAGAACTGTTTCATTAAATTGTCAATTTTTTTAGTCTAATGATATTCATTGTATTCTCTAGTGCTTTTAAAAACCTTGACTCTATTTATAGTTATGTCATTTTCCTACATTCTTCTCGTTTTCTCTCAATCAATCTTACTAGGTTTGTCTATTTTATTAGTCTTCTGAAAGAACTAGGATCTATCGATTCCTCATTGATTTTTCCCCTTTCCATCTATTTCTCTTTTTTTGTTATTATTTCTTTCCTTCTACTTTCTCCGTTCTGATTGACCTTCCTCTATATGTTTCCTTCTCTTCTATTATATGCATTTGAAGCTCTAAATTTTCTTCTAAATACCATTTAAACTGCATACCACACATTTTAGTACTAGTGTTTTTGTTGTCTGAGCAGTACTAAACATTTGGTGATTTCTATTAGTTTTTCTCCCTTTATAATTATTCAGAAATTTCTAAAATGAATAGGGCAGTATAACTATTCTATTGATTTCTAATTTTATTACATTATTGTTAGAGAACATGTTTTATGTGATTGTGAGTCACTGATATTTGTTTGAAATTTTCTTTTTGACAAAGTTTTTTTCCAAAGGCAATTCAGTGGATAGTCTTTTCTTTTTTTATATATTTTTGTTGAAATATAGTTGATTTACAATGTTGTATTAGTTTCAGGTGTAAAGTGATTCAGTTATATGTATATACAAATATATATATATAAAATATATATATATTCTTTTTTAGATTCTTTTCCATTATAGGTTATTACAAGATATTTAGTATAGTTCCCTGTGTTGTACAGTAGGTCCTGTTGGTTATCTATTTTATATATATTCGTGTGTATATTATAATTCCAAACTCCTAATTTATCCCTCCCCCATCCTTTCCCCTTTGGTAATGACATAGTCAGTTTTTAAAAAATATTTCATGTGTGCTAGAATGAATATGTTTCTTGTAATTTGGAGTATGGGATTACTGACATAATTTATGTCTTCTACAAATATGATTATAGCTTTATACACGCATACATATATATATATTTGAGGTTCAAAATTACTGTTTCTTTGATGTGAATTATTCTACTTATCCTTGTATTCTGTTTGCCTTAAAGTTTAAAAAATTTGATATCAATATTATACTAATTTAATTTTTATTAATATTTTCCTAGTACATTTTATCCATCTGTTTACATAATGACCTCTCTGTCATCATGTTTTAGGTGTGTCTCTTATATGCAGTACCAGGTTGAATTTTTAAAAATCCTTCTGAGAATCTCTGTCTTTTAGTAGGCAAGTTCAAAATATTAATATTTATATGTACTTTTGTTATTGACCTATTTGGACTTATTTCTACCATTCAAATTGTGTTTTCTATTTACTATTATCTAACTTAGATTCTTGTGTTTCTTCTCTAGTTTATATTAGGTTGATCTAGTTTTAAAAATTTATTCTCCCCTTTCCTCTCTCCTGAAAGTTTGCTATCTGTCTAAGGTTAGATTTAAAATTAAAAAGTGCCCTGTGAGAAATTAAAACCTCAGACTCTCATACTACTTTCCCAAGCTAGGGGGTTGGACTTCTCTACTTTTGTTTTCATGGCAGGGGTAGCTCTTCAAGGGTCTTTCTTAATCCAAGGATATCTCTTGGGTCCCCAGAGTCTGTCTCAGGGAGCTCAGGGTGATCCTTTATGCAGCTTCTGAACTTGAACCTTGAAGAAGGTGACCAAGAGCCTGGGCTGGGCACAGGGCCAGGCCTTCTCTGCCCAAAGCTGGGGGTAGGTATGAGAGACAAGAGTGCCTGAAGAAAACCCTGAACAAGAACTCTTTGGACCATCAAATGAACCAGAGGGTCAACTCAGACTGAACCCACTGTGGCTTTGTTATCTCTCTTTATTCTGTAGCCTCTTTTTTTCCTTTTGAGCCTAGCTATTTATTAAAAAATTATTTTCATTGCATATTAAGCAGCGTTTCCATGTGTAGGTACCAATCTGCTACACTCTAAAAAGCTGTGGGAGTTCATTTACTTATCTTACAGAATGTTTACAGGTTTCAAGTCTCATCTGCCACCTCAGATCTTGCTGTTTTTACTTTGCTTTCCTCAGTTCCTGTTTAGCCAGCCTACAAGTAGATTCTTTTTCTCTGTCTTGCCCCTTGGCATTGATGATTCATTTTGAAGTTCTGAGTGGCTATTGTTCTGGCCTTCCCTCATATCACCTGTCTCTCAGACTGAGGAGGTAAGCCTTCCCCCGTGCACAAGCTCCTGGATACCATGCTCTGTTTATGTCCACAGTCCAGGTAGGACAACTAGACGTACTTCACTGTGCTGAAGTTCCTGAGTGCACTGCCTTTCCCCTGTCCTCCAGCAGTTTCTGAAATGATGGCCCTGCAGATCTCGGCCTTCCTGGCTGGGCACGCTCCTGGCTTTGATGGAAACATACCCAACTGGAAGCAGCTGGCCTGCCCAGGCCTTCCAGCAATGGGCTTTCCAGTGTAGCATGTGGAGGCCCTTATTCTCTGTCCCTTCTTTTTGGCTAGGTGGCTCCCTCCAGCCACAGGCACTCCCTGGGCCGTTGTCTGAGTTAACATCTGAGGTTGGCCAGCACAGGCACAGCTGTGGGTCCTGGCATTGCCACTCATGAGGAAATTCCCCAGAGAGCCCACAGGCCTGCCTTGATTTCTCTTTCAGGTGTGATTATCTTGGAACAAAGCCTGCTTCCTAGGTGTGAGCCTATGCAGTTACCCTGGGACCCACACTCAGAAAGGTCAGTACTTGGATTAATACTCTACTGTTAGTATGAAATTTTAAGTAAACTTGGAATAAAATTTCAAAATTTTGATTTTGCACTAGGCTCTGCAAACTATGTAGCCTCTCCTTGGTAGAAACAGAGAACATTACTGATCTTTGGAGAAGTGGGTGGGGCTTATTGACTAACCCAGCTTCTTAGGAGTCCAGGGCAACAACCAGTAGGAGTAATGGTTTTAAATATTTTTTTAGATGTAGTGCTATATCCTGCAAAACTTAGTCTTATGGGAAGCGTCCCTCTAAATAAAGCATTTTAGGGCTTCAGGAAAGTGAGAGGGTACAGTTCTAGAATAGCTGTCTGATAGAACTTTCTGCAGTGATGTTAATGTTCTGTATCTTTGCTGTCCAGTCTAGTGGCCAGTAGTCACATGTGGCTACTGAGAACTTGAGATGTGGCTAATATGACTGAGGACCTGAATTTCTAAATTTTAATTAATTTTAATTATTTTAAATTTAAAGTTAGATAGCCATATGGGACTACTGGCTACCATATTGGACGGTGTAGATCTAGAACAACAAAGTAACTTCTGACCTTTGGTGCTTTGATTATATTTTTGCATTGATTCTATATCAAGAATTAAAGTTAGGCTTTGTCCAGAAAGGATTTTCTAAATTCAGATTGAAGGCATATCTAGAACTAGATGGGGAAACTGAAATCAGTGTTTTTCATAAGTATGGAGAAGATATCCTTTCCACCTATGAAAGCTAGCCATGAGGCTCATTGCTGTAGCCTACAAGGGAGTTATTAAATGTACAAATGAATTGCATAGAGACTGCCCCTTCCAGTTCTAAGAGACTATGGAAGAAATATGGAAGACAAAGAAGAGGCAAGGTTAGGGCCAGAGTCTTGGCAAGGAGTGATGGTGAGGAGGTGTGGTGGGAGGTGAGTTGATAGATGAGCTTGAGCCAGTCCTCCTGGGCCTGCATGACCTGGGTGTACGAGTGACCCAGCAAATCCCATGTGTTCTGATGAGACACAGAGGTCTTGAGAGCACAGAGGTGTGTCAGAGGGCTCTAGTTAAAACAAAGACACAGCTGCGTAGGACATTTGAGAAGGCCAGAGCTACAGATCTCAGAGCTAGATAGTACTTCATCTAAAAAACCACACCAGAAAACCTGTACTTCAGTGGTCACCAGTCTAGAGAACAGAAAATCCAGCCTCTCACTATCCACCCATGAAGATCCAGATAATCCCACCTCTGCTGCCACTGGTCATCTAAACTCTTATAGACCCCAAAATATACAGACACAATCTTGAAGGAGAACAAAGAGATGGAGAGAAAATTAGAAAGTCAACATTTTCCCTAAAGAAACTAAAGAGAGTTAACATAAAGGGGTTGTCTGAACTATTGAACTGAACTAAGTTTAACTGAATGGGATAAATGTAGGGTTACTTTCCCTAGTTTTCTATGGATGAGCAGATGAGTTATGGAGAAATAAAGAGGCTGCATTTTCTTTGCACATCTAAGCGCACAGTGAATGAACTTGTGACCCCACTACAAATATGTTTGGCTTCCTGCTAAGCCAGTTTGAACAGCAGTCCTATTCATAAGCTTTAGCAGAGGTGGAATATGTGATAGGGGTTGGGGTGAGGTTGCTAACCTGTTGTATTGAGCCTGGGAGCCAGCATCATGACAGAATTGGCCACTTAACTCATACATACTCTTTCTTCAAAGGCACTAGCCACCTCACATGGGAAGGTCATTTGCGGCTTATCTGGAAGGCAGTTTTTCTCTTATTACCTGCCTGGACACGGAGGAGGTTGTAGATACTCTAGCCTACTGGTCCAAGAGCTTTGAGATCAATGGGAGAGGGCCAGTCTGACAAATTATAGTGTCATTTTGCCTGTGCAGTGCCCTACTCATCTTCTTGTGCTGAATGAATCACATCTGGGATGAAGGAGGCCAGATCTACTTGGACAAAATCCTAATGAACTTATCTGGGTCTAACATCCCATCAATCCCTTGTCCATACAGTCCTCTGTGGGCTACAACACCACCTGCAGGCCAACTCTGAAAAGTACATGTCCAGAAAAATGGAAGAATTCTTGGACTGTATTCTGTAAAGCCAAGATATCTGCATTATGCTTCAAGTGTTTATGGTCCTAGAGTTAGAATCCCCATGGCTCAGCAAATATATTTAGCAATTCCTGGAATTTACTACAAAATTCATTACACCTTTCTTCTTCTTGGCTGTTGTAATAACTGACATTCTCCAAAGGAGAGGAGAGATTTTGTTTGTTTGTTTGTTTTGTTTTAATTTTGGTGCTCAGAGGCAGATGCCACCTTCCAATAAGCCTTGTTTAATTTTTCCAACTTCCCCTAACCTACCTGACCTAGCCCAACCCACATGAATATCTCCAACCATACAGATGGGAGACATTAGACCCCAGGAGGACTCAAATTCAGCTCTATGCCTCCACATCTTGAGTTTTCCTTCTTTGGAAAATTGGCTTTTGGGAAAATTCAATTACCTATCCTCCTTGGGAACAAACCTCATTTGTCAAAGAGGCTAGAGGGGCTAAGTTAGATTCAGAAACTCAGTTTGCACCAAAGTCACCTTTTTCAAGCACTTTGGGTTTACCATTTCACACCCTGTCCTGGAAGCCGTAGAACCATGAGGGAAGACTCATCACCAGTCTTGGAAATCATCTGGATGGGAATTCTAAGGACATCCAGTCCTAGCTAATAGATAATCAGGCATAGACAGGGCCCACACGATTGGATTTTTATTGTCTCTAAGTGTAAGAGGAATAAAATGGTTTAAGTTTATATCCTGAGCTACTGGACTGTCTTGGTCCATTCTAGCTACTCTAACAAAATACCACAGACTGGTATCTTATACAACAGAAATTTATTGCTCACAGTTCTACACCCTGAAAGTATGAGATCATGGTGCCAGCACGGTCACCTTCTAGTGAGAGCCTCTTTCTGGTTCATAGCCAGTGCCTTCTCACTGTATCCTCATGTGGTAGAAGAGGTTAGGGATCTCTCTGGACCTCTTTTATAAAGGCACTAAACCCATTCATGAGCGTTCTGTCCTCAAGACCTAAATACCTCCTAACAGGCCACACCTGCTAATACCATCACCTTTGCGGTTTAGAATTTGACACATAAGATCAAGTTCTACTTTAAAATGTTCAACTTGAAATGCTTACTAGACAACTAATGGAAATGTCAGGTAGGTAACAGGATGTTTAAGTCTGGAGCTCAGGGGAAATGCCAGTGCTGAAGAATATGTAGATCTGGGAGTTACTGACAAGGAAATAGAAACGAAAGCCATGGACTGGATAAAGTCTCCTCTAAAATGAGTGAATGTATTTAAGAACAGAAGTGGCTTAAACAAATTTAAAAATTGGGAATAAGAGGAAGAAGCCAGTCAGGGATGTAGGAGGAAGACCGAGATGGTATGTTGACCGAGAAACCAAGTGGTTGACTGAGTCAAATGCTGCTGAGAGGTCAAGTGAGAGGAGGACTGGGGATTGTTCAGACGATTTGGAGAGATGGAGCTCATTGGTGATCCTGAGAAGAATATCATCTGCACTAGAGTTGTAGCAAAGAAAACATGACTGGAGAAGACTGAAAAGAGACTATGAAGTGAGGAAGTGGACACGTTGAGTATTGACAACTCATTTTAGAAAAGGTGATGCAAGGGTACCTGAGAAGCATGTGTGGGAGTTGGAGGAGGGCATAGATTTTAGGGAGGACAGATTTATTTTAAGATAGGAGATATTATAGCATGTTTATATGCTGATGGGAATGTTCTAATAGAAAGGGGAAATGTGGAAATGCTGGAGAGAGTGGATGATGGAAAGCCTTTGAATAGGTAAGAGGGGATCCAGGGCTTAAGTTGTGAGTCTAAGAGGACCTACACTACAGGACAGTTCTTCTGTCATAAGAGGAGAAAAGGCAAAAATTAGTAAATGTGTTGATGGGAAACTGTCACAGCTGTCTTCTGGTTGCTCCTACTTTGTTAGTAAAAGTAGAGATGATGTCTGTTTCCACCAGTTCCCACTAGCCCAGCTTACTCAGACCCTGCTCTCAACCACAGATCGCCATCAATTTACCATGACAACTGAGTTGGAAGAATCCACTTATCACTCACAGACACAGAAAACAAACTTATGGTTACCTAAGGGGAAAGGGGGTTGGGGGGAGGGGTAAATTAGGAAACTGGGATTAACATATACACACTATTATATATAAAATAGATAACCAACAAGGACCTACTTTTAGCATAGGAAACTATACCCCATCTTATGTAATAACCTATAAGAGAAAAGAATCTGAAAAGAACATTTTATACATATATATACATACATATATACATATATATACATATATATAAACTGAATCACTGTGCTGTACACCTGATACATGATATTGTAAATCAACTATACTTCAATAAAAAATTAAAAAAAAAGAAGAACCCACTTATCTTATGAAAGATTCTGGATTCCCATCAGTGTCACAGCCAGCTCTGGTATTTTGTCCATTAGAAAGGATACCAATTAGACAAGCAAATACATGAAATTAGTCCATTTGAACTCAGAATCCACCTGAGCATGGTAAGGCTTTTCAGCTCCCCAAACTGGACAATACAACCTAGTGGAGTGTGAGGTGGAGGAGGAATAAGCCATGGTCAAAACGTTCACCACTGACAGACTGAGGTTGCTGGCACCCTATAAAAAATCAAGAAAACAACCTTAAATGTTTTAAGTGCCTAACTTGCTTGTTGTCAGTGGTTTTCCCAGTTTGTCCTCATATTTGGATACTTTGGAATTACGTGTTTTTTAATTCAGCCTCTCCCTAAGTTGCTTCCTCTTGAAGCTCCACCTCTTTATCTCCAGTGAGCCTCAGCCATATCCTAGGCTCCCAGCTACCGTATCTCCTCCCTGCCTGGTCCCTGCTTCTTAGGGAGGAAGGTCCTTACACAAATGTGAGAACATGTAAAATAGAT